CGGCAGGACTGAAGACCGACAGGTCACAGGTTCAAATCCGGGGAGAGCACGGATGAGCTCCCTTTGTCAGCTCTAGCTCCTCATGCGGGGACATAAGAGAAGCCTCCCACAAGACGGCCAATTCTCTCACACCAGAAGCGACTTGCAGTTTCTTAAGTCACTCCTGACATGACAAAAATAAAAATAAAAAACAGTGTGTTTCCATGGCTGAGCATGATTTACATTCAGGTCTCCACAGTTGTTGTCCAATGCTCAAACCATGACACAACACTGGCTTTGTCTTGTATATATACAGTATATGTTGTTTAGTAAAACATATTGATAGCAGCTATATATACATTTCTAGATTTCCAGAACTCAGATTGCATTAATAGTGTTGGTCGAGTAATAAACTACATTTTAAAATATTCTGGACCTACTAGTCTTTGAGATCAACTTATCACACTGCCAACACTTGCTTATTTGTTTCATTTTTCTCCTGTAGGTCTGGCGAGAGTGAGCTGCGATTAGAAGACATGACTCAACATGTCAGCACTGAAGGTAGGTGCTTCTTACGCCTTTGTAGTCTGGCTTCTTAAATCTATCCAGAAAAGATCAGCAGGACTATTGAAAATGAGAGGTCAACTGAATATGTGAAGCTAGCATACGCTGAGACATATTCTTGCAAGCATAGGCTTCTGGCTGGCCACTGTGAGACACAGAATGCTAGACTCTAGTCTAGAAGTCTTGCTCTAGAAAATTTTGCCAGAAACCTTTATCAACTGCTTGCCACAGTCTCTTTCTGTCACTATCACCTGTCCTTTGTGGTCTTATTCATGCTAGATATGACTAACCTTGCTTTTTTTTAAGGACCTGTGTATTCAGCTTTGACAGCCTATCCTGATACCATTCAGACAGTTTGCTTGGGAGGAGTACTAGCAGGTTGTTTAGGTTCCATACTGTCAGAACTTGCTGGACCACCATCCAAACAACCTAGGAAATACAGACGACATCCAGGATGACTCTGGGAAGAAGAAAGGGACCCAAAACATACCAATTCAATTGAAAAGAACTGCTGCAACCATTGATGCTGATAATAATAATACTAATACTTATTATTATTATTATTATTATCATTATTATTATTATTTATACCCTGCCACCATCTCCCCAAGGGGACTCGGGGCAGCTTACATGAGGCCAAGCCCAACAACGCATCAATAAACAACAAAGCAGCAAGCGAATAAAACAGTACAATTAATATAACTCACATATAAGCAATAACACACAAAAATTTAAAAACCTTATGGCCAGCCCAGATGTAATAGATTAAAATTTTAAAATAAACACTCGGCACGAACAGAGGTAGGATGTATCTAAGCAGGAGAGCTTTAAAGGATAATGTAGGGAGACCAACCCAACAGGTAGTTAAGGTGCTTCTGAGGACATTTTGCAGGGAATTAATCAGAGCAGGGCATTGTTTCCTTTATTCAGGGAGGGCACACTGGGACAGCCACGTTTTCAGGCTCCATTTAAAGACTGCCAATGTGGGGGCTTGTCTGATATCCTTGGGGAGTGAGTTCCAGAATCGGGGGGCCACCATAGAAAAGGCACTGCCAGGCCATCAAATGCTAATCAAGGTGGTCAGTTGAAACATTCACACCTAGCTCCAGCAGACAAGAGTCCTTTGTCCCACCCTGGTCTTTCCACAGATATATAAACCCATTTTCCTAGTTCCAACAGACCTCACTACCTCTGAAGATGCTTGCCATAGATGCAGGCGAAACGTCAGGAGAGAATGCCTCTAGAACATGGCCATATAGCCCAAAAAAAACCTACAACAACCAAGTAAAACTTTATTTCTATCCCGCCCTAACTCCCATGGGGACTCAGGATGGTTCACAATATTAAAGGCAAATATTCAATGCCATATAATATAACAATAGACTAAAACAATTCAAAATAAACATAACAGAGAATTCGACAATGAAACAAATCACATGAAAACAATAATAATAAATTAATAATAATAATAATAATAATTAATAATAATAATAATAAACTTTATTTATACCCCGCCACCATCTTCCCCAACGGGGACTCGGGGTGGCTTACATGAGGCCAAGCCCGAACAACAGATTACAATAAAATAAAATACAAATTGCAATAAAATAAACAACATAGCATTAAAGTATAAAACATATAAGCATATAAACAATATACACAAAACATTACACTATGTTAATAAAACAGAAGTTAAAAGCTGTGCCTAAATCCCATTCCTTACTTCATAGTGCCGGATCTAGTACAGTATTCTGTTAATAGTAGCCAGCCAGATGCCACGGGGACATTCCTGAGCAGGGCATAGTGGAGGTTATCCTTTTAGCCTTAATTATTTGTAGCCATCAACAGTGACCTTGCCTTCTGTTAATACGTAATCATTTCTTAATGCTTGGAGTCATTTTTAATGATCTAAAGTGGAAATACAGCCAGTTCATGATTTATTGCATGAAAATAATTCCTTTCATTTTAGACCCTGCCAGTACTTCCAGCTTAGTTTTCATATGCATATTTCCCCCGATTCCAAACGCTAGGCATGATCCTTGAACTCTAAAGGTATAACTTTGGATCCTGGAAACAGTACTTAATCACGTCTTTTCTGCATCTTTAAAATACGTTCAGAATTCTTGTAGGAGGAGACACTCTTTTTAAAATATATATATCATGAAAGAAAGTGGCAGGAGAGAAAAAGGATGCAGCGCCATCCTCAGGTTTGATGACTAAATAATTGCATGGCTCATTTACTGAATCTGTTGTGTTGTGTGCAAACTCAAAGGGAGATTACTGGGTTCCAGTGCTTGATGGACAACTCTAATATCACAGAACCCACAATCTAGGACAGTGGTTCTCAACCTTGGCCACGGTGGTCCACGCTCTGGTTACATCCCGTATAGACTACTGCAATGCTCTCTACGTGGGGTTGCCTCTGAAGACTGCCCGGAAGCTGCAATTAGTCCAGTGAGCGGCAGCCAGATTACTAACGGGAGCGGGGTATAGGAAGCATACTACTCCTCTGTTGCGCCAGCTCCACTGGCTGCCAATTAGCTTCTGAACGCAATTCAAAGTGCTGGCGTTGACCTATAAATCCCTAAACGACTCCGGCCCAATTTACCTGTCCGA